TTTTTGATTATCACTAACTTTAATAACATATTTCTCCTTTAAAATGAAATTACCAAGTGAACTTTTTCCATTTCCTGTTTCACCAATTAAAAGTAATTTGGTTTGTTTTTGTAAACTCATTTATGTTTTATCAATTGCTTGTTTTTCTTTAAATATATTCAGACAATATATTCAGTTATGTTTGTTATATATTTTGATAAAAATACTTACAAGTTATTATATTTTGCGATATAAATATAATATAAGTTGTTACTTTTGTTTTATTGAAAATAATAAACTTACTTGTATTGATTTTATTTCCTTATGTAAAAATTTGTCATAAATAAAAATTAATTTTCGATAAAAAAACTTCAAATATTGTTTACGATTGTTAACAAATAAAAATGTAAAAAAATAATTTACTGACATTAATTCTTCTTTATTTAATTTTATTTTTGTTTGTTGATTAAAATAACACATTTATTTCATCACAATGTTTTCATTCTCTTAGAGTTTAACAGTCTCTGTAATTCCCTTCTTACCCCCTTTTTTCACAAAAAAATATTTCAAATGACTTTAAATTAATTTTTATTTTATGAATTGTTATAAACAGATAAAATGAATTAAATATTTAATTATGCTATTTTATCATTAAATACTATAATGTCATCTATTTTATAGTTTATTTAAACAAATGGTAATTTGTAATAATGAAAAACTAACATTTAATAATAAATGTTGTGTGTATGTATGTATTTGTTGTTTAATTCTTCTTATGACTTAATTCATCTAATGCCAACTCAAATTATTGTAAATAAATCATATATCAACATATGAACAACCTTATTTCATTTGGTTAAATTAATATTATTTATTTTAAAACAAACTGAAACAACACTTTATGGAATAAGAATAGATGAAATAGAAAAATAATTCAATTTTATCAAAACTATAAATACAATTTACCTTAACATAAAATAGAAATTTAATTTTCTTCTTTGAGTAAAAACTATTTATTAGATATAATTCAGTTTCTAGTTGTTCACTTGTTCTAATTCATTGAAAATAAACTATTTAATGATAGAATTAAATGAAGTAACATTCATGATAATAAATAATGCAATAAAATATATTGTTTAGTATTTAACTATTCTTGTAAAATTAAATAAAATAAAATGAAGGGAGAATAAACTACAAATAACAAAGAATAATAAATGAAATGAATGATATATAGAAATAAATAAAAGAATGACTGTAATTTCAATCAATTAACAATAAAAAACACATAATTCACAAAATGATTTTCATCATAACAACAAATGGTTATTTAATTTCTTCAACACATGATAATTGAAACTTAACAATAGTTTATTTCTACACTAAATATTCTTTCAAATGAATAAAAGAAATAATTAAAAGAAATAATTAAATGTTAATAGAATTAAAGAGGAAAAGAAGAACATAAAGAATTGCAGTGATGAGAAACAAGATAGGATTGAAGCTCAGGATAAGAACCATAGTTTGCAAAGAAAAATTTGGAAAGACTTTCATGAGCTAGATGAACGTTTGTAGCAAAAGAAGGAGAGTCAGGATTAAGAGAAAAAGAATGAGAAGAAAGCAATGAAGTAAATAAAAGACGTTTTGAAGTATAGAAATAAGACCAATGTTGAAGAGCAACAAAATCAATGGTATTAACACAAGAGGAAAGATTATCAATCCAAGGTTCAAGAATAGCAATTCTAGAAGATGATAAAGTGAGAAGGTCAGAAATTTTAAGAGTTCGAGGGAGTTTCATATCAGTTTGAATAAAAAGACGTTGAGATAAAATAGAGAAAGAAAGAGGAGAAAATTTCGAAGCAATATGTTTAGCAATCAATTGTTTTTCAATAGTATTAATTACCCATAAAATATCAGAGTTATAAGATAAACGTCTTTCTTTAAAAGCAAAGAAATGATTAATATTAATTATAGGACATTCACATTTACTAATAAATAAATTATTTCCTATAAGATAATTAGAAGATAATAAAATAGTAGCAGGTGTTGTTAAATAAAAAGGAGGACGTTCATAAAATTCCCAACAATTTTGATTATAAAAATAATTTTGAGGAATAGTGATAATATAACCATTAAGTTTATTTGAAAAAGGAATAATTTGATAAAGTGAAGATTTTTTAAATATAATACAACTAAAAGGTTTTGTTGGTAAATATTTTGAAAACATGTCATTCATTCGTATTTTCATTAAATCATTAATTATATTTTCATTATTTCTTTTTAAATTGACTATACAATAATCATTTGTTGAATATATAAATTCTTGTATTATTTCTTTTTGATTATATTCTTTTCTTTCTTTATTAATACTACTTGAAATATGAATTATCATTTTATTAATTATTTCTTTTTTATTAATCATTTCAATGATATTATATATATCTTTATTATCTTCTTCTCTTTCTTGTTTTTTTACCATTTTTCTTTTAAACTCATTAAACATTTTTTCATCTTTAATTTCAACTATATAATTAACTCCTTGATTGTCATATTTTATTATCTCAAATTCTTTTACTCCTATTCTTTCTATTATTTCCATCGTTATTTCATTTTCTTCATATATAAGATAGATGACATTCTTGTCTATAGGAATTTTATTAATCGTATAATGTGGAATAATACTCATTTTATTCACTTGTTTAATTATTTGATTCATCCATATTTCATTTTCTTCCATGTTTATGTCTTTTAAGTTCTTTTTTTTTTCTTTTTTCTTTTCTTTTTTAAATGATTTTTCTCTTCTCCCGTAATAATCTCAATTAATGGAATAATAAATAAAGAAAGTAATAGATTGAACAAAGAATTAAAAATTGACATTGATGTCATCAAAGAAGTTAAAAATTATGTAATACAAAACATGATGGATGTCATGGAATTTTGCGGAGACAACAACCAAACATACTCCTTAGAGTTGCTTAAAGATGACAAATTGACAGGGTTATTCTCCCTTGATACAGGAACAATAGAAGTTAGTTCTATGAACACTTAATTAATTGCTTATTATTAATTGATTTCTTCTTCAATTGAATATTTCATGTGTTTTTGTTTGTTTTTATTTTATTATTCTTTTATTCTTATTAAACTTTATTCTATTCTTCTTTCTCTTTTATTATTTCTTCATAACAACAAATTATATACATTCAAAAATATTCATTGATGTTGAAATGTCTGAATAATCATAAAACATTCATTCTAAATGATTTGACTTCTATTGGTATTGTATTTCTTTATTTCTATAAGACAGTTTATATTTACATCATTTGATTTCTTTTCTTTTAAACATGTTGAATAACTAACTCAATCTGAATTTATTTATTCGTGATTTATTTCATTTCATTTATCTAATCATTGAATATGAAAAGAAACAAATAAACAAAAAGATAGAAGTGACATTAAGAAATAAAAAGAAATGATAAATAAATGAATAGAATGAAAATTAATAAATGATAGAAAGAAAGAAATAAAAAAATAAATTAAAAAGAAAAATAAGAACTTAATAATAAATATGAGATGTAATAAAATAAAAAGAAAAAATAAGAAGAAAAACTTAAAAATAACAAAAATGGGAATAACACAATCAATATTAAATAACAAATCAAATGACAAAACAAAAGAAACAATTAAACAACTAGAAGAATGGACAGAAAGAAGAATAAATAATATACTGTTTGATTCAGATAATGATAATTGGAATAAAAATAAATCAGTATTTAAACAAAGAATAATGAATAAAGAACATATAATAATTATTATTGAAGATAAAGAAGGAAATAAATTTGGAGGATATGTTAATTCTAAAATTGATAAAGTTGATGATTTTATAAATGATTCACAGTCATTTGTATTTTCATTAGAATCAAAAGGAAGAATGGAAGGAATGATGAAATTTGATATTAAACAACCACAATATGCATTTTGGTTATGGAATCAATCACATGATTTTTTGTTTGCATTTGGAGGTGGAAGTGATATTCTTGTTGGTAAAGAAAATTATAAAATATCATGGTGTGATCAACTTTCATTTGATTATAAAGGAATTGAAAATGCACTTTATGGAAAACAATATCCAAATCATTTCACACCAAAACGAATCATAGTAATTGAAATGAAATGATTCAATCTTGATTTAATTGAAAATGAACTAAAAAAGAATAAAAACAAATCAATGAAGAATATGAACATTTCATTCATTGGCAGATGAATGAAATGGTGAAATAAAAATGGAAATAATTCAATGTTGATTTATTTTATTTCATTTAATGAAATTTTCACACACAGAATGATGGTGTTTTTAATAAATAATAAAAGAAATAAGAATGAAAGAGAAATAAGATAAAATAAATAAACAATTTATTTGTATTATTTCATTGAATTAATTCATTATGAATCAAATGAATAAGATAATAGAAATAAGAATAATAAACAAATAAAGAAATGATAAAATACAACATATTTATGTTATTATTTCTTATTCTTTCTTATTTTCTATTTTCTATTTAATAAATAATAAGCAAAACATAATAAGAAAGATAAATAAGAATAACACAACACAAAATAAAGAATAATAAGAATAATAAAATATACAACAAACATGAATAAACAAGAAATGACAAATGATAAAAGATGAACTAAATAAAATAACAACAAGAATAAAGAAAATAGAAAGAAATAGAAACAGAAATAGGCAACGAAATACAAATAATATAAAAAGAATATAAAGATATAAAAGAATAAAAAGAAAGTAAGAAGTAGAAGATGATGAAGAAAGAATAAAAGTAGAAATGTGAGAAGATAAAAATAAAGAATATAAAGAGTAATAAAACAAAAGAAATGATAAAAGAAGAAAAGAAAGAGAAAATAAAAAGTGTAATTTTATTTCAACAAATAAAAATATGAAATAAAAGTGTCTAATTTAATGATGTAAAATGATTAATATTGTTTTATTGATGAAAAATATTTTACTATTTTTATGTTTATTATTTATATGTATAATTTAAACATGATGTTTATTATATAATCAATCATATGTGTTATGTTATTATAACATATAATAAGTGATAAAATATAAATGAAAATGATATGAATATATATGATATAGAATATAAAACAAAAGAATAATAAGAATAAATGATAAATAAAAGGAAAAATGATAATAAATGATATAATAATAA